CGCGACCCCGAGACGCGGCGCGCGGCGTCGGGCGTCGAGGAGCGCGCGCCGGGCACCGGGCGCCATCCCGGTCTCGGGCGAAGTGAAGCCGCCAAGATGGCGCGTCAGTTGTGGGCAAGAGAATTTAAAGGCGAATACCTCGCTTTTTCGGTCTAGGGAGCTATCGTACTGAAAGCCAAGCTGGGGGGGGTCGAGATTCAGACAACTAACCCTTCTCGCCACGAGACACTTGGAATGCGCGACCAAAGACATGGAGACGTCATAAAATTTCAGAAAGGAGAACCCCGGCTTACAAAGAATGCAGTTTCCCCACTAAAGCTGTCATGGACTCAATATAGTAGTAACCATTCATATCTGCATAATATTCTGCATTTTACGAAATGCTTCCACTTACGTTATTATGGGTGATTTGATCTTCACAATAAACCCTACGGTACAGTGGATATTACTCTACCTTCCAATTTACACAGGATAAATCTCTGGCTCAGCTGTGCAGGTGATTCCACAAAGATACACAGCCATCCCGGGGATGGGGGATCCTGGCTCTGGCTGCTAATGCATTTATCCAGGGCCTAAGAAGGTACCCGGGGCACAGTCTATGTTCAATAATTCAACATCTGTGTTTTGAACGAATGAATGACTCCTAACACCATGTTCTCTCTACTTTTCTAGGGCAGAATGTCAAAGCTGGAAAAACACATTCAGCTCTCTCATCCTACAGGGGAGCCGCCAACAAATATTTGTGCACTTAAATAATCTATTTGACCTGATTCTGTCTGTAAACAGAATCCCACAGGCTGATGGAAGTATCCACAGTCAAAATGAAGAGCGAGATTGATGTAATCACGGACATACCCGCCAGCAGTCTGACTCTAACCTGAATCACCCTAACTCTCCCAAATGCCAAGGAAGTCTCTAGCAGCTTGGCATTCCGTTTGTGTCCTGCTTTTGAACTACAGAGTATGTTGATCCGCTGATTTGCTCCCCGCCTCCTCTCTCTCCCTTTCTTCTTCCCTCCTTCCCTCCTAAGCAGCCCTTAGCACTTGAAACTTCTAGAGGAGAAATATCCAACACCGATTGACTTGGGCGCTCTTCATTAGTCTTTTTATAAAAACAACTTTAATTTACATTCCACAAAAGCCATCCGTTTCATTTGTACGATTAAAATTAAGTAAATTTTCAGAGTCGTGCAACTAACTATAGCAAGGTTTGATTAGAGTGTCTTAAGTTTAAGAAAGTTTCCATAACCTTTAGTAGTCTCAGAAATGCATACGATTATGGCAATTGATATTGAGATGCAGGCAGTATAGAATTTTGTTTCTCCAAAATTCTGGGCTCCCTCTTACCCAGAAGATTCCGTTGCTATATTAAGTCCAGGGAATCGGGAATCACAGGATCTATAGGATATGAAAATGTACCTACACACTTCTTACCCAAGCCTCGGGGTTTTCTCCTTAATAGACCCACAGCCCGGCAGTGGGCGGGGTCTAGCCGATAGGCGGGGTCACCTCCCGAGATCTTCCGGAAAGGGGCGGGTCCTGCCTTCCGGAACTTTTCGGACGGAGGCGGAGTCTTCTGCCGAGAGCCGTTCGGAAGAAGGCGGGGCCTACTTCGCATCAGGACCAGTCTGGCTGCACCTGCATCTTTAGCTCAGAGCATCCCTGGAGCATCTTAAGAGGCGACCGCAGCTGGCAACCGGGAATCAGACTGTCGCAGGAGGCGTCCGCCAGATACCTTCCCCCTCCCCTGACCCAGCGCTCTACAGCGGCGGCCTCGATACTGACCTGGGATTCCCAGGGCTGTCCGACCATTGCAAAAGCATTTTATAGCAATAGCCTCTGATTACGACATGGCTGAGATCACCAATATCCGACCTAGCTTTGGTAAGTACAGTCGGGCAAACTAAGCCTGGGGTAGTCGAAACCGTTGCAAAGTCAGGGATGGGGGGTCCCAGCGGCTGGACAGGGGATGCAGCCCAGACCAGGGCCTTCAAGGGTCAGCCCCGCTAGAGTGGGGCCTGTGGTGGTGGGGAGCGAGCAGCAGACGGCGCCTGAACTTGAGCTATGGGCTGCAGGGACTGGGAAGGCCAGAGCCACACGGAGGGTGAGAGGTCCAGGATGCTAGAACCTTGTAGAGGTGAGAAACAGCCAGCGAGCTTGCGGAGGACGTGAACCCCTCCTCTGGGGGAGGAGGAGAGGTGGGGTAGGCCGAGCCCTCCCCCTTGGGGCACGCAGGGCGGTGCCCTTTCCTCCCCCTCCTGGTCCTCAGGGCTGCGGGGGAGGGAGGTGGCAAGGGGGATGGGGCATCAAGATGGCAGCTTGGAGACTGTGGGCTGTGTGGCTGGCAGCCAGGGGAGGCGCCGGCCTCTGGGGAGAGAGGTGCGGGGGCGGGGAGCCCAAAGGGAGCCGCTCCTGAAGCCGGTCAGCGGATGCTGGAGCTGGGAGCAAACGTGAGCGCCGCGACTTCTATTCTGCACCGTAATGGTCGGGTCCCTCCGGTGCTACCAAATGGCGCTTGGTGCCGCTGGGCGGGGATGACGTGATGTCTATTTCTGGGCCTCCTGGCAGCGCCCAGGCGCTTCCTCCCGGGCCTTTGTTCCCTGTTTGCCTGGGCTGGCTTTTCAAATAGGGGGACTCACCCGCGCTGGCGCTGGCGGGGCCCGAGCCAGGCCCGAGGGGGAGGGGCGAGAGAGGCCGAGCCCGGGGAGGCCGCTTTGTGTACCAGAGAAAGCATTACGTCACCTCGGCGCGGCTGGTCCCCGACCCTGCCCTGTGGGCCCCAAGCTCGGATACAGTCCCTGGAGCAGAGTGGAGTAAAAAATAGGGAAGAAGGCCAGAAAGCAAAGCTCGAGAAGCAAGTTTTTTCCTCTTCGGGGATCTCTCCAAAATGCGCTAGGGTAACAAACTTCCTGCGCCGTGCTTTCCTGGTACAAACATAAGAAAGCATTGCCCTGTGCCCCCTCAAGGCCGCCCCAGTTTGGGCGGTGGAAGCCAGCCCGGGCTGCTGTGGGCCCAGGGTTCCCTCTCAGCCCCCCAGAGACTAACCCTCAGACACTCAGCGTTCAGGGCGAGGCCACAGCCCCGCCAGGAAACGCTTTTCCCACTCCCCGGTAAGAGGTCTGTGGAGGGGAGCGGAGCTCCGTGTTCCCCATTACCTCAAAAGCAGGAGGAGTCGGGGCATCAGGGAGAGCGCCCAGTCAACACCCGGCACCCACCGAGCGCTGCTCCCGCCGACTCCCCAGGCTGCGTCTTGCTGGTGTTTCTTTCTGCCTCCTCAGCCCGGCATGGCTGTGCTTTGATCCCTAAATTTCCAAAGTAGGCGTCCCTTTCGTGGTGGCCCGAGTGGCCCACGATCCTCTTTCTGGTCCTCTTTCTTCTCAGGCCTTCTTTCCAACGTACCCCTCCATATTCCTCGCGGGGGGAGACGGTGTGGCGTGTGATGTAGGAATCTCCTTTAGAGGAAACACTGGCGGAGGAGAGAAAAGAAATTATATCAGCCTTTTACGTACTACATTTTATTTATTTAATCCTTACAAGTACCCTCTGGATTGCGTGTGTGTGTGTGCGTGTGTGTGTGTGTGTGTGTGTATTTTTGCCAGATGAGGAAACTGAGGCTCATGAACATAAAGTAAATAAAAGTCAAAGAAACTAGTGAGGCCGGTGCTAGGATTTAAACCAATGTCCAGGCGATGTCACAGGTCAGTCTCATTTCACAGTACCGCCCTGGCCCACCTGGCGGGGTAAGCCTGCTTTAGCACAGGAAGTGGCAGGAAGCGGGGTCTGGTCAAGGCCGACAAAGCTGGGCGTAGCCCAGACGTGTCTCCTGGGTCTTTTGACCCCGACAGAGGGTCTCCTACTTAGAGAGCTGCCGCTTCTGACTTGCTGGTGCCTCACAGGGTACTTCATTTCAAATGCCATAGCCCTTGGGAGACACATCAAGCCAACACTTAATTACCCATGACCTTGGAGGACAAAAGGAACAAGCAGCAGGGGTCACTGCCATTTACAACCACTTTAAAACACTCACTTTGGCCATTCGTTCCAACTTCCTTTTCCCACCACGCTTTTGACTAAAGCAGGACAGAGGGTTCTGGCTTTCCAAATCCTGATGTGTCTGGTTCACTGCCTCGAGCGTGGGGGAGAGAGGCGGGGGTTAACGAACACTCAAATGCAGAGGAAAGTAGGGCGGAGGTGGGAAACAAACCGGTGAGTGAGTCCTTCCCTGTCCTGAAACGTGAAACCCCCTGTCTTCTCCAACCCACACCACCTCCACCTTCTATCAATAAAAGTCGAGGCTTGGTAGGCAGCCCTGGCTTCCCTCAGGATCAGAGTAGATTCATGGGAGAGCCAAAAGGATCCCTCAGATGTCCCCCAATGTGGGCCTTTCGATCTCCTTTCCAAATCAATCTCGAAAATATACCCATCTTGGTAGTTGCCCGCCTCCCTCTTCTCATGGAGACCGTCAGCGTCCAGTTTCACCAGCCAGGAGCCAGCGACCTTTGGGAAGGCCCCTGCCTGGTGAACGGAAAGCCATTTCTTCGGCTTGTGTTCTGATGGAAACCAGTGGGAACCAATCATTGTTCAAATGGACCTTTAATGAGCTCGCGTGAAAAGCAAGAGACTCAGGGACTCGAGGATGGACGGGTTGCCACTTCGGCTCGCTCTCACGGAGCCGAACGCCAAGCCTGCCCCCACTCTGTGAAAGCTCTCCCGTAGAACTCCCACTTAACGCTCCGAGAATAAACGCTGTTATTATTCAGTACGGCCGTGGACATGGTCACCTTGGTAACTCTCTGTCTATATTATCTTAAAAATGTAACCCCTTCTCTTCTTACCTGGCCCCAGCTTTCATAGAACCCTGGAATGTTCGAAGTGGAGAGAACCTCAGACGTTCAGTGCAGTCCCCGTGGAAGGGGTCGGTTTTAGAATACGCCTGCCCGGTGGTGATCCACCCTCCGTTTGGAGGTTTGTGGTTGGGCGAGGCAGTCTGAGCCATGAGGTGGCAGTTCTGGGAACAGTCGGACTCTTCACAGAGTCAGAATCTGTCTTCCTGTCGCCTGTCCGCCCAGTGCTAGACCCGCCCTCCACAATAAAATCAAATCGCAGCTCCTTCCATCAAAACGCCTTAAATAATTGAAGACGATTATTATTGCTAGACCTTCGGCATCTTCAGATTCTTCCATTTTTCTTCCTTTGCTATGGAGTCTGGGCCTTTTACCGTTCTGACTACCCGTGCTGTAGAGGCGTTTTGGTCTCTGACGGACGGGGTCTCCGTCCCACTTCTGCGGTTTGCTACCATGTGGCCTCGGGCCAATTCGAGTGCCCAGGTCCCTCCCCTGTGAAGTGGGGAGCTTCGGAGTACCTTTTCAGTGAGTGCTTTGATTCACAGAGAGGAAGCCTCAGCACAGTGCCCGGCAGGGACCTGATAAATGTACACCCCCAAAATCGCAGTTTTTACTCTTGTCAGTGCTGGACAGAACGTTCCACGCGCATTATGAGCAGCACGGATGAAGTTATACTGTCCTGAAGCCGGATGCAGTGTTCATTGTAGGAGCGGGCTAGCCTGATTATACCCCGAGCTGCGGTCACCTCGACTACTAGGTGACTTTTGCTCCTTCTTGTCGGTCAAGGTCTCCCACGGCCCGTCGACAGGTTTTGAAGACCAAATAGAATTTTACGTGTATCGCTGGCACGTGCGACCCTGTCGACCGCGGCCTCATTTTTCCAGTCCGTGGAGGCTGCTTCGCGTCCACTCACTCATTTGTTCCCCGAGCACTTGCGACGGGCCGCGCGGTTCCAGGACGAGGGCAGTGAACAAAGCGGACGGTCACAGCTCTTACTAAGTGTGTCTGGGGAGGGAAAACAGACAAATGAGTATATGTCGAGAATAACGAGTGCTGAGAAGAAAAATAGAGCAGGGCGTTGGGGCGGTGGGAACGCCCTTCTCTAGTAAGGGGACACGCGCACAGAGGCCTGCAGGGGGCCGGACAGACGCCTGCAGAAAGGGTGTTCCAGGAGGAATCTGGAACATGCTGAAATCATGTCTCTTTCCTTATTTCTCCCTGCCCTACCCAAGTCTTCTACCCATCTTACCCAAAGTAAGATGGAAAACTAGGGGCTGTATCTAGACGAACTGGTGTCGGTTAACTCAAGAGGGGGTGGAAACGAGCCCAAACCCAACGAAGCAAGTCAGGGGCCCAACTCGCGCGAGGGAATTCGAGACCAGACAAAGGGGAGGAGGCCGCCTGTTCCTCTTCGGTTACTTGTTCATTCGACAAACGTCGATTAAGTACCTGCCGTGTGTTTTTAGTGCTGGGGATACAGAAATGAACAAAACAGACATTCTAGTGAAGACAGACGATAACTAGTAAAATTATATATGTGCGTGTGAGTGTCTCCATATATGGCTGTGCCTATCTGTGAGAGAGAGAGACAGACAGACGGACAGACAGACACATGGAGAAATCAAGCAGGGCGAGGAAGTCTGGCTCTCGGGGGGCGGAAGAGGTCGCACGTTTATTTTTTACTTATTTACTTACTTTTTAGGTTGCACGTTTAAATAGGGAGGTCAGGGGAGGTCTCACTAACAAGGTGGCATCTGACCAAAGATCTGACATCTTCCACAGCCTATTCTTTTCCATTGAAAACCCTTGCATTTTAAATACCTGGGAGCTGCAATTCGGAACGTATTTTAAAAGTACTTGGCCCAGAGTTCTTTCTACCACCCACCACTTCCACCACCCCTGAGCACCCTGCTGAAACCACCCAAAGTCACCCCGCATCCTCCCGCCCCAAAGTCACGAGCATGCTGCCTGCAAACCCCGCGCTGGACACCGGGGAAGAGCCTCCCGAGACCGGACACGGCTCGTGCCCCCGTCTAACGGTTGAGGTGAAGGGCTCCCATGTCAAAAGGGGACGTGGTGGCACTCACAGGGCAGACCGGGTCCTCCGTGCCAAGGGCCGGATCCGAAAAGGCAGGGAGTCAGGGGGGGCGCGTCGGGGTCGGCTCCTGGAGGAGGCAGGCATTCCGCCCAGGTCCGGTGGAGGGAGCGGCCTCGAGAGCGTGGGCCAGGGGTCCCGGAGAGAGGGCAGAAGTCTGTAGTAGCCCGGATGAGCAGGCCCTGCGGTGGGGGCCGGGCTGCGGGAGCAGGGGCGGGGAGGGGCATGTTGCTCAGCTGAGACCCGCCACCCTGACGCATCTCTGGTCTCCACCTTCAGACGTGTCGCCGGTGGTGGCCGGCCTGGTCGGGGCCTCTGTGCTGGTGGTGTGTGTCTCGGTGACTGTCTTCGTCTGGACGTGCTGCCACCAGCAGGCCGAGAAGAAGCACAAGACCCCGCCCTACAAGTTCATTCACATGCTCAAAGGCGTCAGCATATACCCAGAGGCCCTCAGCAGCGGAAAGAAAATCGTCAAGATGCAGAGAGACAGAGATGGCCCGGGGAGGGGAGGCGGGCGCGGGAGCCCGCAGGCGGGGGGCCCCGAGGCCGGCCTGCTGGGCCAAGACCAGGGCGCCGCGGCCCCGGGCTCCGGGGCTGGCATGGGCCAGCTGCCCATCAGAGTGGACGACGGGGAGGAGCCGAGGAGCCCCGTCCCAAGCCTGACCCCTGGGGAGAGCAAAACCACTTCTCCGTCGTCCCCGGAGGAGGACGTCACGCTCGGGTCCCTCACCTTCTCCGTGGACTACAACTTCCCCAAGAAGGCCCTGGTGGTGACCATCCAGGAGGCCCACGGGCTGCCGGTGATGGACGACCAGACCCAGGGCTCCGACCCCTACATCAAGATGACCATCCTGCCCGACAAGCGGCACCGGGTGAAGACCAGGGTGCTGCGGAAGACCCTGGACCCCGTGTTTGACGAGACTTTCACCTTCTATGGCGTCCCGTACAGCCAGCTGCAGGACCTGGTGCTGCACTTCCTCGTCCTCAGCTTCGACCGCTTCTCACGGGACGACGTCATCGGGGAGGTCATGGTGCCCTTGGCCGGCGTGGACCCCAGCACCGGCAAGGCGCAGCTGACCAGGGACATCGTCAAAAGGAACATCCAGGTGAGGGGGAGAGCGTGCTGGGGAGGGGCGGCGGGTGGCGGACACAGGGGATAGAGCGGGGGGCCAAGCGGGGCTGTGGGAAGGGAGCTCGCAGTTTTCCAGAATAAGCCGTGGTCACAGTGAGGCGGTGGGACTGGCGGTGACGGCTCCCGTAGGAAGCTGAAGGAAGCCGGGACGGGTAGCCTCTGACATGTGGCCTAGCGGTCGGCGTCCTGATGCTGGCCGGACCCCCAGGCCTAGACCCTCACCATTTCAAGGGTGTCAGGGCTCATTTGTTCCCCAAAATGACGTGTAGCCTTCCTCCAGTGAACCAAATCGTTCAGTAACTTTTCCTCCAGCTTCCCTTTGCAGCCCAAACCTCAGGTGCGATGTGTCACCTACGCGGCTTCTAGTAACCGGTTTATAGATGCGGTTTAGTGAAGCGCTTCACCGTCCAGCCCCCACCCGAGCCCAGACCTTGGCCACAGAAACCTCTCCATCCCCCGCTCTCTTCCCGCTGGCCTTGGAAGGGGACAGGTCCTTCCTTCTGCCTTCTTCCCGGAAGGCCAGCACTGGCTCTTCGGTTGGAATTTCAGGGGTGCAAGAAACATGCCCCCTGTCCTCCAGTTGTTCCTTGATTTCTTCCACAGCCGGGGAGGCGGTGTAGCTCTGTGGTGAGTGCTGGGGCCCTGGAGGTGAGCCACCTGACCTCACTTCCGGCCGGCGGTAGCCCCGGCGGGTCACGGCCTCGGGAGGGGCTTTGGCTCTAGTGGACGAGAGGCCAGCAGTCCCGGCAGTGACCGCCTGGCAGGTGTGGCGGGTGCTTTGAACGGAGCTGGGGACATCTCCAGCGTGGAGTTTCCTTCTCTTTTGGGGGGATAAACGTAAGTAGTCGCTAGCAAGGGCTCTGGAGTCAGACCTACGTTTTTAGCCCAAATGCCACCAGCCCGCTGACCTTGGGCGAGCTGCTTGGCTCCTCTGACTCTCAGCTCCTCGTAGGAATTCAGCCAGGTCATGGGCTTGCATCGTCCCCAGGACACCGCCAACCTCCACTGAATCGTAACCACTAATTATTATTATTATTATTATCATTATTATTATTTTCATTTTTAATAAAGTTTGATCCCCAGGCGATACATGTGGTTTGGAGACACTGGTGTTTTGACAGAGTCAGACAAGGGGACTCGCGTCCGTGGAGAAGCAGGGAGAGGGCTCAGAAAGGACATCGAGGTCACTGAAAGCACGTCACCTGCAGGCCCACGCTGCCTGGCTCAGACGGCAGGTTGGAGGCTCGGGACTGGACAGCGAGGCATCTGGGCCAGCAGGGGCTGCGTGTGCCGTGCGCTCCGGGAACGAGGCTTGTCCTGGGAGGCAGGGCACCTCACCGAGCCGGGGGGAAGGAGCAGGGGGCAGTTCCCCAGGGAGAGGGTCCTAACTTTGCTGTGTAGCAGGGCCTGTCTTTCCGCGGCCACCCCATCAAGCCGTTGCCCGCGGCACTGCAGCTGTGGCGTGGCACGCTCAGCTCGCTGCCCAGGGCCGGGGCAGTCCAGAAACTCCGAAGAAGAACGTTAGAGGTGCAAACGCCGGTCCAGTGCCAGGACCTCATGAGACAGCAGAGAGCCTAACAGGGTGGGGTTCTCCGAGCGCCAGAAACCGCAGCCCCCGCCCTGTCGACCCCTGGGTCCCCTCGGCTCCAGCACCTTCTTCCGCAGGCCGCTGCCCGCCCTCCCCGCGTCCGGCTCCCCTTCACAGCGGTCCCCACGCCTCCATCCAGCTCCTCTTGCGGGCCACCCTTCCGCTGGGCAGAGCCACCAGCTAGCCCGCTCCTCAGACAGCCCGAGGCGGAAGGCTCTGTGCCAAGCTGCAGCGGGGGAGACTGTTGAGGGGCCGATCTGGGCTGGAACAAAACAGCCTCGAATCCAGGACCCTGGGCAGGGAGCACAGACTGTAGCGTTTGCCCAATTGCCAGGGGCTCTTGGCAAGAGCCAGATTTCTTTCCACTTTATTAACTCCCTGCAGGAGGGATGAGCCAGGGCTGGGATCCTGAGGGACATGACCCCCGGGAGGCCCCTAGACGGGACACGGGAGCCTGTGCATGCCCACCCCCGTGCCTTCCCACCTCCCAGGCTTCCTGAGCCTGTTGTCCCCCAACCAGCAGCGCCTGTGGGCGGGGCCGGGTCCCATGGGCTGTGGCTGTCATCTCCAGAGCCACTGTCCCTGCGAATCCCGAGCACCGCAGCCTCCACGCATCTCCCCTAGATCCTCCCCCAGTAGCCAGTAGTCTGCCCACTCTGGATCCCGCCTGAGTTCATCTGTTAGAGCCACACAGTCTGTAGAGCTTTTCCCGGTCTGCGTGAGGCGCCCCCTTACAGCACGGGGCCACATGTCCCCCAAGGTTCCGCAACACAGCCAGGCCAGTTGAAGAAGCCCAGGACTGGCCGTGTGACTTCGGCTTCTGCCCTTCCCACTGCCTCCCTCTGGGCGAGCAGGTGTCCTCCCTGGGCCCCAGACTCCCTCTTGGCTGGATCACCAAGGCTAGTGGGAGCACTCCCAGCTCTTGTGACTCTATAAAAAGTTATAAGCAGCGCGAAAAATTAACCCCGGATTATTCGTGAAAGAAGATCACAGTATGAACCCTACAATGCCCCCAAATCTCTGAGTCGGACTTTGGGAACTAGATTGTTTGTTTGTTTGTTTGTTTGTTTGTAGTGGCAGCTCTTTTCCTAATATTTTATTCAGACAGAAGCTAAAGTGAATTTGCTTTCCCCTCAGAAGCCCCTCACAAGGAGCAGGGAGGCGGGACACGGGGGCTGGTGGATGGGGAGGAGACGCGGGAAAGGGGTGATTTACAGTAATGCGGGAGGTCACGCCACCTCATTTCCCCGGGACACTGCCTTCCAGACCGTTTCCTGTCTCTCCACGGCCAGATCTGGCGTCGATGACCGGGGACAGTGGTCATGGGGACGAAAGGGGTCTTAAAATCGCAGAGTCACGAGGGACCTTCGAGGTCACCCAATCCAGCCAAAGGGGCTGAAAGGACAGAAAGAAATAGGGACGTCGGCTCCCAGGGGCCCCGAGGACGGACGTGGCCGGGATGCGAGTCGGGGAGGAGACAGAGCGGACGGGGTCAGGCGAAGCTTTTGCTGCTTTTGTTTTCCTGTGACTGTGACATATGTGGATGGAGGGGCCCCCGGGACCTCTGACCCCAGTCGAGGTTTATTGGGGCTGGTGGGTCCACCTCGTGAGAAGCCTCTGTGGCTAGTAAAATCGCTCTGGAAGGGACGAATTCCACTAGTGAGAGGAAACCGACATCTCGTCGCCTAGGTGTCCCCTTCCTCCGAAGGCCTCTCTGGGGACCCCGCTCTCTGCGAGCAAAGCCTCCCAGCTCTGTCAGGCGTGGATAAAGCCCCTTCCCACCCCACCCCCACCGTCCTCCTGCTTGCTGGCCCCCGACAGGGTCTTTGCCTCCCGGAGCCAAGGGGCTGGGAAATGGCTCGCTCCCAGCTCTTGACAAAGAGTCCTTGAGAAGGAGCCATTGACAGGCTCCCGGAGAGAGGCCGGTGGGGAGGGAGTGGGGAGGGGCAGCCGGACGTGAACCTCTGCTCTTCAATGCAGGGTGGAACGGCATTCGGGGGGCGTCGTGGCTGCACACTCGGGCGTCACGAAGGGGCAGCCGAGTGGGGACGGGCGTTCTGCCCACGGAAGATGCCGAAGGTGAAGGGGATCGGGTGGAGGACAGGTGCCTGAGGAGTGATCTTAGGGAGAAAAGTATTAAAAGGGTAACTAGAAGTTGTCCACTTTCCCAGAGAACTGGGGAAGGGGGGTGGTTTAGATTAGGAAGATTTTGCTATGATGGATGATTTAGGAAACAGTTTTAAATAACTGGGAAACCTAAACTATAATCTTGTAGTCAATGTGATTTTTACAAATAACACTCTGTTTTTTACGTCAAATTTTCCTTTCAGCCTACCTATCCTTCTTCTGTATATAAAGTTAGAATTTTATTTAAAGATTGCATATTTAACATTTAGATACCAGTATTCAAAGATGACCCCAGAAATAGATACCAAATCTAGTTACTATTTCATTATTCATGGAAACAGCAAGGAGCAGTGGCCCAAATAATTCAGAGTTTCTTTCTAGATCGGAGCTGTCCGCTGGGAGTTACTGTGACGATGGGACCTTCCCTGTCTTCACCGTCCAGTCTGGCTACTGTGACTGAGGAACTCGAATTTTAATTTTATTGAATTTTACTGAATTAAAATGTAAATAGACACATGTAGCTGGGGGCTCCCGTCCAGGGTAGTTCGGTCCTGAATGTTTGCAGGGGAGGCGTTTGATGTTATTTTTCTGAGCGATGACTTCCCCAGTGCCATTCCACGGTGGCTAATGGGAAGAATGAGTCTACATTCTCCGACTGAGTTCCCAGAGACAGCAGCCAGCAGCGTCCTGGTCGCCGAGGCAACCAGCGCGTGACTTTGGCAGAGAGCGCTTCACATGGGTGCAGTCAGGCGTCGATGGCATGTGTCCTGCGTGAGGGAAGAGTGGGGGTTCCCATCCGGCGAGGAAGAGGAGCCACGGGAAGCTTTCAAAAAGCGTATTCTCTTTCGTATTTCGATTGTGAAAGCTAACGGCGACGTCTACATCTTAGCCAGTGGTGTTCTCGGTGGGACACGGAGCCCCGAGAAATGTTTTAAGCTGCGTGAAGTGTTATCACGGTTTCATCCCCCCGCACTGACTTAAGGCTTGTAATCGAAGCGCAGACTTTTAGGGGTTCCCCTCGTTGTTCACTGATAAGCCAAATTGAATTATTTCCTGTGCCCGACACACCTGAGCAGGGAGAGTGCCAGCCCGTGGGACTGCCGAGGCCGGGGCTCCTCGTCCATCTGTTCAGCCCTAGCCGCTGGCAGAGAGCTCGGCGCTTAGTAAGTGCACAAGAAATCACCGGCGTGGATGTGAGGCCGGTGGTGCGAACAGCCTATTTTTGCTCAATCTAAGGAGAATTTCTGAAGTAGGTGACACTTCTGTGGGGCTATGAAGAACACAGGGAACGGGATTCGGTAGTAGGGGAAATGATTTTGTCCCAAATTTAACTTATCGCGTCCTAAATTTTTCAAATTCTACCTCCTTTTCCTTCTCTCAGCCTCGGCCCCACGCTCTAAGCTAGAAACTCTGCTCTGTGCCCTACACTCGCATCCAGTCAGCCACCCAGGCTCCCAGGGCCAGGGGTGCACGAGTGGCCACGTCGGGCCTCGGGCCCCTGCTTCCGGCCTCGGGCCCCTGCTTCCGGCCTCCCACCTGGCGCTTCACGGAACGGGCCACGTTTAAATCGCCTGAGAGGCCCGTGGGTTAGTCCCACTTCGTAGACGAGGAAACGGAGCACGGCCACGTCCAGCGCCTCGTCCCGGGTCACACGATGAGACGTCGCAGGCGGGACTCGGATCCAGGCCAGGCCGGCTTCGGGGATCAAGGCCTTCACCATGAGGCTGCGCCCCTCCCCACACGAACGGTTTCGCTGCGGGTCGGGGTCACAGTGGGAACGTTTCCTTCCCGTCCCCCTGCAGCGTGGCAGTGACACCTGGATGGGCTGAGCACCTGCCCTCGACACCCGCCTTCCGCCCCGCCCCCTCCTCTCCCGCGCCCTCTGCTGGAGCTCTCACCTGCCCTTTCCTCTTCACAGAAGTGTATCAGCAGAGGGGAGCTCCAGGTGTCCCTGTCATACCAGCCGGTGGCCCAGAGAATGACAGTGGTGGTCCTGAAAGCCAGACACTTGCCGAAGATGGACATCACCGGTCTGTCAGGTAGCAGCTATTTACTCCGATCGTCTCGCCGTCTGGGCCCCACCGCCGGTGGCCCAGGCACACCCCACGTTTCGGGCCCCGTAGGCCTTCTGCCCCACACCCATGCACCTCTGTCCACCCCGTCCTGATGAATGTCTGGGGCGTCGATTTTATTTTCCTGGCCGGGGGAGGGGGGTGTTCTGGGTGCGCAGACGGGGCCTTTGCATCCGGCGAGGCGCCCGAGGGGTCCCGGGGGACGTAGTCCCCGCACCCGACTGCCCGATGTGGCGGTTTCCTCACGCCTGACCCTGGGAGGGGCTCCGTCTCCTCCCCCACCCCACCCGGCCTGGGTTCCTGGGCCCCTTGTCCCTGGCGCGGTCGGGCATGCCCTTGCTGTGCCCTCGTTGACCACACGGGGTGGCCACGGAGGGGGACGGCGGAACCCGTCCTCCCCGGCGTGAGGCCCGGTCCAGCAGGGGGACCGTGTCACAGGCCCGTCTCCCTTTCTCTCGCCCGCCCGGGGGCCCAGACCCTTACGTCAAGGTGAGCGTCTACTACGGCAGAAAGCGCATCGCCAAGAAGAAGACCCACGTGAAGAAGTGCACGCTGAGCCCCGTCTTCAACGAGTCCTTCATCTACGACATCCCCGCCGACCTCCTGCCCGACATCACCATCGAGTTCCTCGTCATCGACTTCGACCGCACCACCAAGAACGAGGTGGTGGGCCGCCTGATCCTGGGGGCGCACAGCGTCACGGCCAGCGGCGCCGAGCACTGGCGGGAGGTGTGCGACAGCCCCCGCAAGCCCGTGGTCCAGTGGCACAGCCTGACCGAGTACTAGCCCCGCACGCACCCTCGCCTCTGCCCCCGGGGCCGGGCCGGGCCGGGCCGGGCCGGGCAGGGACGGCGGGGACAGAGGTGGCGCAGACAAGTGGACTCGAAAACCGCATTTTAGTCGTAGGACAAAATTTCTTACGAGACGAACCCCACAGAGAACACCCATGACCACAGCTGCGGATCGGTTCTTAGCGATGATGATTTTTCTCCTTTGCAAGGCACTAGAAATTCTCTTTTTTTTTTTAACGGGGAAGAGAAGAGAGGGAGAGACCTCTACAAGTCTATATATAACAATGTAACCTTATACTTGCATGTCTAATACAAACGAAGAAATTAGTCTAACCGCCAATATCGAGTTAACAGATTTTAATCCATGAAAATTGTGTTTTGTGCCGACTTGTATTTGCTGATTCCCTGAAATTGGCCTCTTTTTATCGGGCTCCTCTGGAGAGTCACTCTCGCTCCCCACCTCTGCAAAGAATATTCTGCTCTTGTGGAAGCCGTCATCGTCCTCGTCCGCATTTCCCCCCTTCTCCTTACTTCTCTGTTCTCTGACCGAGCGCAGGGTCCAGAGGTGGCATGGGACAGGCAGGGCCGGCAGGGGAGCGCGTTTGAGAAATGGGGTGTTTTTGCTGATTGCGCTCTGCTGGGCTGACGGGGTACGTGGCAGCCTGTCATTGAGGCATGACGCCCGGGGCCGCACCAGGCTCAGGAGGGGGAGCTGGGCTTGCGAAACGCGATGACGTCTCGGAAAGGGGCCTCGGAGACGGCACGCTCAGCTCTCGGGTGGTCCCCAGGGACACATCCGCTGGCCCCAAACGCTGCTCGGCAGGTGCGAGGACAGGAGGCGAAGCGAGGTCACCGTGACCTCCCTTTGCAGCTCTGCACGGGAGTGACAGCCATTCGCTGGCCGGCGGGCGAGAAGTCATCAGAGTTCCGAAGGCTTAAACTGGCCTTTGCTTTTCCAGAAACTCTGACCCTGGAGAAGCTTCAGTCTTCTCGAGTAGCTTAGATGCGGTTAACTTTGCTTCATAAGGCAAAGGGCCTTTGAAAGTTCTTGGCCTTAAATTTTTCAGTAACGGCTCTTAACAAGAACAGTGTGGCTAAGTGGGTTGTAGGGCGGCTCGGATTCTTGCAAGGCGTCCTTGCCCTCAAAACAAAGTGCTCGGTTCTTGGAAGGTGCCAGTCTCAGGATGAGGCGGAAGGATGGGGAGACGCTGTTGCACCCTCCTGCTGCGGGGGTGACTGGGAGAGACAGACGCTGTGCCCTGCTGGGGGTAGAGGTCAGGCCTCCTGCTCCGAGTCGCTGCCACCGATGGCAGGGGCTTCACTGCTGATAGGTGAGCGTGGGTAGCAGCCCGGATGTTTGCCGGCGGAAAAGGAATTCGAATCAGTGGCAGCGTGAAGCGAGGCCCGAGCAGTTGGCTGGGCCCAAAGGTCCCTGCCACTGTTTAACTTGCTTCTGAGAATGGAGCTGGAAAGCTGTGTCCCCACCGAGAGATGGGCCACGTTGCCTTTGATGACCCCTCAGCTCTGGTGGATTGGAAAACAACCCGTGACCCCCTGCCCCCCACCCCCCGCCACGGCCCATCTGCTGTTTTTCTGCTCCTGGATTCTCGACGACGCGGGCACAACGCCCGCGCGCTCATCCTGGTCCCGGTCGGCCCCCCGCCCCCAGCTGACTCCCACCGCCGGCCGTTCTCTGGTACTCCATGGACTGTAAATACTGTATCATACGTAGAAGAAAATAATTTTTGTTTTCTAAAAATGCATTTCGAGATAGTTTAATGTACATCCAACAGGAGCGCTCTGAAGCCCCACTAGGAAAAAAATTCCACTGGTTCCTCTTCATCGCCTTAATGCGGATCAGAAATCCCTGGGTGGCCAGGTGCTGTCTCCTCCACGGAGACAAGGCAGAGTAGCCGGTGGCAGTCCGGTGGCAGTCCGGTGGCAGTGTGGCCTTGGCCCGCTGTGTGTGCCTCCCGAGTCCCTCCGGGGGATAGCCTCAGCGCCCCCCACCCCTCGCCTCCCGGCAGCTCTATCCCTGTGTCCTTCGGGTCTGCTGAGCAGTGGTGTGAGGTGACGGGGGAGGGACCCGTAGTTCTGTCGCCTGGGACCTGCCTCGGTGTCTTTCTCAGAAAATGGCCAAGAGGCGGACGGGACAGGGTCCCTCCCTGCTACCTCAGGCCTGAGCCATCGTGCCCTTGACTTTGCTGTCCCAAAGTTTCTTAGCCGACTTTGGCTTTCACAGTCGTTCCTCCCAGAGCTGAGAGTCGGCCGAAAGACAAGAGAGTCGCATCCTAGCTTTTGCACAAGGCACTCGTGGCCAGGAATAGGTTAGGGAATGGCCACTTGTGATTTTCCGAGCGTCAGCCCTTCCTTCTCCGCTGACACCTTGACTCCTTTGAGAAGACGAGAGTTTTTCTGAATAACAAAGTCCCTCCTTTTCGTTCTTCTTGGCGGGGCGGGGCCCAGACGCACAGGCTTCTCCGTGTGAGACGAGACGCGGGACTGGCGGGCGGGCGGGCGGCTTGCCCGGGGCAGGGACCACGGCAAGTCCTCCTCCCCGGGAGGCTTTGCTCACGGCCACCATAGTGACATTTGTCTCGCCATGGTCCTTCTCCACTGTGGTCGTCTTTCTTGACCTTGTGTCTTCTCTTGTAAAAACGAAACTCGAGAATAAAATAAACGTGTCAAATTAAAACAGAAAAACCCGAAAAAGCGAACGTGAATTGTGTGACCTTGCGTGACGCTGTAACACTGAGCTGTAACATGTCGTGCTGTCGCGTGCGTGGGGTTTGTCCATGCGCCAGCAGGTGCGAAATAAAACCCGATTCTCGCTGGAGACGCGGGGACGTCGGCGTGCTTCTCTTGGGAGGGGGGCGGCCGCGACCGAGGCCGACGCTCAGGCTCCGGGAGGGTGTTTCAGGGCCGTCTGCAGAGTGTGGGCCGCAGACCACTGACTCGCACCCATCGGGCGCTCGTTGATGCCCGTTCCGGGCTCCAGTCCGCCAGTGCTCTCGTGGAGGTGGCTTGCTTCTAGTCCCTTCTCTAGTCCGTTTTCCTCCCCAAATGTAATTCCCAAGACCGTAACCACCGGAGGGAAACATGATGGCGTTTAGGGCCTCAGTCCCTGGAAAGGTTTATTCCGAAAAGCGATGCGGAGACTGCCCGATTCTGCCCTCCCGCTCGTTCACTGGTTGACGGCTAGTTCTTTACTGAGCGTCTGCCACGTGCCAGGTGCTGGGGACCAATACGTCGGGAAGCAAGAGTCTTGCTCTTGTGGCGCTTAGCGGAGGACGAGCGTCAAACAGTCACGCCGATGAGAAACGCTCTGCAAGAAAAAGCTCCCCGGTCGGGGCAGCACGGTGGGGTCGAGGTTGGGCCGACGCGGCTGTCACAGCTGTGCCTTCCGCATCTCCCGGGGTCCTGGGGGTCTGGAGCGGTTCGCACCCCATGGTTTCTGTTCTGCGCGAGTTCCGCTCCCTGTGTCCCGGCTCGAGGCAGAGAGAATGGCAGCGGGAGAGGAAGCCCTGCTCTCTTGAAGCTGCGGTGAAGGGACTAAAAAACCATTTTTAAACTATGAAACTAATATGATAAGATAGTGTAAGAAACCTGGAAAATGGCGGGGGGGAATCCAGGTTCCAGATCTAATAACCGTGTGTCTTCCTGCCCTACGCCCTGTGCATTTTACCCGATACGACATTCGGGATCGCTGTAGGGAACATGCAAAATAAAGCACGAGGTCACAGAAACAGGAAGAAGAAACGACCCCGCCTACGGACGAACACTGCTCACTTTGGCACGTCCTCCCATGCGTTCCGACGGTCCTCCATTGCTGCATATAATTTTGTATGTAACCTTTTTTAGGTGTGTCTTAAAAAAGTAACATGATGATATAACGAGATGCTAGTAAGAGGATCTCGGCACTCCATCAAGATGCTTTGGGCTACAAGTAACGGGAAACCCAGTTCGAATTGGCTTAACCATCAGACAACGATTTGGTTGGCTTAACCGAAGTCCACAGGGAGGGCTTCAGGGCCGACGGGCAAAAGGTTCCTGAAACTGCCAGCACCCAGGCTCTTTCCGTGGGCCTGCTCTACGCTCACGGCAGCCGGATCCTAAGGCTTATAGATGTTTCTGGGACCCCCTGCAACCTCCTGCGCAGCCGGTGCTCTCATTCACTGCTGGGGGGAGGGGGCGTGCCCAGGGCCTCTGCCAGAACAATGAGGCGAAGCCATGCCCAGGAGCCTCTGGCTATTCCCCCCCAATCCCGAACATGTCAGCCGGCCCTTTCTGAGCCGGTCACAGCCAAGGAGGTGGGATTGTCTTTCGGCCTTTAGAAGTGCCCTGGGACTGAGCGGGAGCGGGTGGGTTCCGGAATGAAATGCCATTTTCTTTGGGAGGAGGAATGGATGCTGGGTGGGCAACCGCCCGAGGACGCCACGCCATTTTCCACAGGACCGTCCACTCCAGTGTCTTCTCCTGGGACCTCAAAACAAGCTCCCCAAGACGGGAGCCAGCCCCTCAGTGCCTCACGTACTGATTTTAACTGCCCCCGTCCCCCCCTTCCCTGACCTTGTGGTGTGGAACAACCTGGTGCTTGGCGTCCCCTTTAAATAATTCAAATGTCTACAGCCATGGCACCCTGAACGTGCCCGATCCCGTCTGATCTCGGAAGCTAAGCAGGGTCGGGCCTGGTTAGTACTTGGACGGGAGACCACCTAGGAAGACCAGGCGCTGTAGGCGTAAAATATAAATGTAAATAAACGAACAAACAAACAAATAAATAAGGGATTGTAAGCCGACAAGTTCTTTGCAATCTGTGAGGTCAACCAAGGGTCGCCTCTCCTAAAAAATTTTTTAAAAATAAATAAATAATAAATAAATACATAAATACATAAATAATTCGAGCACGATGTCAGTTTAGCCACAGGGCAAACCTTCTGAGAAAGCTGAGAACGTTGTCCTTAACCAGTAGAGCTTTCATGAGACAGAAAGGGGAGAGCCTCCGAGTCGCCTAATCCTCCGGTGGGTCAAACACCACCCTCTGAGCACCTCAGAAATGCTCAGAACCCTACGCTCCACGGACCCAGGAGTACGCGTGCTGGCAGAAAAATCTGGAGGCAAGTCTGCGAACCCCCGAACCGCTCCTGTGTCCGAGCCCGGGGAGCTGGGAACTCACCTCACCCGTGAGAGTAAACCTCAATCTAGTTGAAAAGCTCCGACAGGACCCTCAAGTGTGATGGCTTCAAAAATAAATAATAACAGCAGCAAAGACAGCTCACGAGATGGACCGTCAGCCGATTCTGGGCACCGTTTAAAGTGCCTCACGCACTTAAAACGCACGGAGTCCCCCCGACGACCGACGACCGTGTCGGGCTTGTGCTGTTACCATTATCCCCACTTAACGGGAGAGAAAAAACAAGCCCAGCGTTCACATAAGCTGCTCCGAGTTACACGGCTCTAAGCGATGGCGCCTGAATTGGCGGCTTGACTCCTAAACCTGTGTTTTTCTGCCGTCACTGCGGGGAC